GTCAATACAATCTTCTTGTTGCTTTCTTTGCTTTTCCAGTTCTTTCTTTCTTCTTGTATTGCTATTGTTTCTCCTAGCTATTTTCTCTATTTCAGGATCAAAGAGTAACTGCTCAGCTGGAGTTTTACCTCGCATAAACAATCTCAAGCCTCAAAAATTGGTTTCCATTGGTTTTACAAAAATTGGTTTCCATTGGTTTTCATGGCCGAGCTATGGAACTCGGCACTCATGAGTTTACTGCTTGGTACTTAGGCTGGTAAACCTTTGACCGAGTCAGTAGATTGGTGAGGGACAAGTTGGCAACTCGGCTGACCAGTACACTTGCCCCCCAAGCACCGAGTGATGTAAGAGCAAAGGGGCTTTTGAGGAGCTCCCAAATTTGTTGTTTGAAGGTTCAAATTTGACCTTGTTTAAGAAAATGTAGTCTTAAGGTTCGGACTCGACCTCGGCATAACAAGGTTCGAACTCTACCTTTATGTCAAGGTTCGAACTCGACCTTGGCATATCAAGGTTCGAACTTGACCTTGGCATATCAAGGTTCGAACTCGACCTTGGTTAAGAAGATGTAGTCTCAAGGTTCAGACTCGACCTGACTTAACAAGGTTCGAACTCGACCTTTATGTCAAGGTTCGAACTCGACCTTGGTTAAGAAAATGTAGTCTCAAGGTTCGGACTCGACCTCGGCATAACAAGGTTCGAACTCGACCTTTATGTCAAGGTTCGAACTCGACCTTCGGAACGTAATTTGTATTTGAAGGTTCAAACTCGACCTTATTATCAAGGTTCGAACTCGACCTTGGAAAGTTGTCATGGTTAATGTGCCAATACCGAAAATGTATGGGAATGGAGTTGCTTTGTTGATTATTTCTGAGGTGTGCCTCGTTAAAACCTTCCTTGGCCAAAAACCCTTTTCTTTAGTGGGAAAAAAGGCTGAGGAGGAAAAAGAGTACATCACCTGAATTTACAAGTTAAGAGAAATTAAATTTGAGGTGGGTGGCATTCCAAGTTCCAAATTTTCCTTTGGAGGGGTCTGTTCTTTCTTCTCCCCGTAATCGCCAAACAAGGTCGCCAACTTTAAATGTTCGTGGCCTGACCTTGGTCTTGCTTTCCTTGTTGTTTGTCGCGAATTACCTTGCGGAACTCGGCATGCTCCTCCATCTGGATGTACCCAGCAGCGCGAGCTCGGAGCTCGTCCATGTAGGGAGGAGGTCGTCGGCAAATGCTGTCGGCGAAAGGTCCTGGCTTCAACGCCATGAGCATGGAGTGCAGTGCGACCTCGGGATTCAGATTTCTGATCTTAACCGAGGTGGCGGCAAATCGTTCCATGAACGTCCGGAGTGGCTCGTCTTCGTTCTGTCCGAGACTGGCCAGGGCAGCTGACGTGATGTGATGAGGTCGACTCGTTGCATATTGCGCCGTGAATCGCCTGACCAGAGTGCTGAAATTGTCGATTGACTCAGTCGGGAGCTGGGTGTACCAATTGAGTGCAGCCCCCTTGAGCGAGGTCGGAAAAACCCTGCACTATATAACATCCTCATTAGTATAGAGGTTTACCTGTGTGGTGTATAGATCGATGTGCTTGTCTGGGTCTGTTGTGCCGTCGTAACGGTCGAGGTGGAGAGGCTTCCACCCAAGAGGGAGGTGTCTCCATGATACCGTCCATGAAAGGATGACGGCGAAAGGTTGTCTGATTCCCCGTGCCGTGGGCGGGGGCATTGCTGACGTCATGCTCCGACCTGTTTGTCGGTGCGTGGGACCGATGTGTGGCAGGGTTGGGAGTCGGTGCCCTAAAATGTTCTTACTGGAGATCTGCTGTAGAGGTGATCTGCCGAGTAAGATTGGTGAGCCTCCTTCACTGGTACGCTTGGTGTTCCAAGATGGGAGTGGTACCTGCAAAAGAGACTCCGATGCTAAAGTTAGTGTTTGTGGGAGTGTGAGTCTCGTATAAGTAATGCACGTACCTTTGTGTGGATTAGGGTTTCGTTGGGCCTTGGGCCCGAGATCAGTTTTTGACCTATTTGGGTGTAGGGCTGACGTGGCCTAGCGCGTGTCCGATGTCACTCTGCGCTGAGATGCCGAGCTCGAGCTCGGATAGTACACTAGCCCCCCGAGCTCCGAAGACCGTGGGTCAAGGAGTTAATGCCGAGCTCGGTAGGGGGTCGTGACCCTTCGCGTATGCTTCTCTGCCGTACTACCATGTGTAGATGTCTCGTATGTATAGCAGACGTACCTTGGTGATATTAGGGTTTTTATTGTCTACCGGCACATTGACATTGTTAGGGTTTTACCTTGTGATTGCGGCGCGGTGACAAGATTGTATTTTGATGACGTGGCCTCTTTGGGCTGGTGTCCATGTTTCATGGTCGAGCTAAGGAACTCGGCACTCATGAGTTTACTGCTTGGTACTTAGGCTAGTAAACCTTTGACCGAGTCAGCAGATTGGTGAGGGACAAGTTGGCAACTCGGCTGACCAGTACACTTTTCATGATCTCGCAAATCATGTTGTATCATTATTGCTATTAATAGGCCTACAAATCTTAGTATTTATGATCATTATCGTGCCTATTTCATAAATCATGAAGTCTTGTTCAAACTATTCGTGGAGGATGATTCGAAAACTAACAAAGTCTTATTATGAAGCGTACTTGACAAAGTAGTTGATTATCAGTCAAAAAATATGTTTGATTCACTCAATCGATGAAAGACCAATACAATACAATAACATAATTCAAAAATTAAATATAATTAGATAATCCATAATAATAGATAAAAAAATAATATAGACCATGCATATTTAAAACACAAAATTTGTTCAAATTATGAGTTGGATTGATTCAAATTTAGATTAAAATTATAAAATTAAATTTTAAATTTATGTTGATTTTTTTAATTTTTTTATCAATCAATTTGTATATATTAAATAAGAGTAATTTCAAAGAACTTTTCTTCTACGATAATTTTAAAAATTCCCTCGATCAATAAACCCGGAAAAGTATATGTTAACCACAGATCTAATCCACTAGTAAAGTTGGGGGTTAGCAGTTTAACTAATTGCTAATCAAATCCAACTTGCTTGCAATAATACAAATTCTTGTTGGGGGCATCTATCTGGCTACTGGCTAGTACGTGCTTGCCACTTTCACATAAAAGTATTATATTTTGGAAAATTTGTCTCAGCGTGTCAATTTTTTTATGGAATTGATCGGGTATTAAAATACTGTCAACAACATTGAAAGGAAAATACGAGGAAAGCCACGTTCTCTTGTTGAGAAACAAGCTGGACATTCAGAAGCCTCTTTCATCATCATTACTGTCACATGGAAAATATGATGCCATTCTAATTTTAAGAAAAATGTTATAAAAAAAAGTTAAAAGTGGTCCTTTTAATTGGTAGAGTTTAATATACAAAAACAATACAAACTAAGTAAGCAATTATGACGTAATTGACTGTAATGTGATGTGTAATTTTTTATGTTTAAATAATGAGAAGTATTAATTTAATTAGCAAAATCTTATAGTTATGAACGGCTACGTATCTTAAATATGGCTGTTATTATTTCTTGACATTCAAAGCAAATAAGAATTAGGAAGCAGCTCGTATGAAACTATATATAGAGCTATATTGTTTAGTGACTAATGTAACTTGTTTAAAACCTAGCTCAAATTGTAAAAGTGGATATATTTTGATAAGGGTTTATTAAATAGGTAAATTGTTTTTATACTTCACTAGTTCACTTAGCTATTTATGGTTTGATCGCATATGATAAAATGTCTCCTTTCCTATATGATGCCAAAAAGTCTTGTGAGTTTCTTTTCTTTCCTATATGATGCCAAAAAGTCTTGTGAGTTTCTTTTCTCTCGTGAGTGTAAGATATCATTAACAAAAGTAAAATGATTATGATGAAAAAGTTAATTCCCTGTAAAGAATACAAGAAATCTTGTTTGTTAAGATTGATTTCCCTGTAAAGAATACAAGAAATCTTGTTTGTTAAGATTGATTACGTGTTTGAGTACACGTCTAAAACATGATTCAGAACAAAAATAACGTTTAAAATGTAAAAATTATAATTAATAATTTTTATCCTAACGTGATTTATTATGTTAAAAATCTTAACCAAACACACACTTAAACGTTTATTTTTAAAATAATAAACGTATTATTTTCTTTTAAATTTTGCGAGAAATTTTTTAAGCCCTTCGTGAAAATTTTGAGCACAATTAGCTACAGTCCAAATTGTATGATTTTTATATATAATTGCAAATGATTTTACTAAAAAATCTGTATTCGTATATTTTAACTTTACTACTGACATAGATGCAACAAGCAAAAAATATAAAATACAAACGACGAGTGGGACTGTTTTTTTCCTTCTTTTATATATATATATATATGCTTGCTTCCTCACGGATCTGTGGCGAGAGTGGAAAGTAGAAAAAAAATCTTATCGTGTTTACTTTTTTCTTTTAAATTTAACAAAAAGTCATTACTACGTGCCATCATATCTATCGTTGAATTAAAGCACTCATTTAAGAAAAGGAAATTAAGGTCGTGTGTATACTGTGTCCAAATTCAAATAATTAGGCGTACATTCGACAATGAAATCTGGGATCACAAAGAAGCGAGTAATTTTGCATGTTGAATGAGTTCTTAGGGGGTTCTGACAAAGGGAACAAGCGGATTTTGCAATTTGCACATAAGTAACAAGCTTGTAAGTAAAAAGAATGACAAACTGTTTTATTCTTTCAATTATTAGATGTACAACGAAATGATCATGGTCATCTACATACACGTGTGAACACCAAAACAATGAATCACCAAAATAATCATCATAATCATGAATATCATCATCAACGGTCACCCCTCCCGAATCTCGAATGAACAAACACATGAACGAGGAACAAAACTAGATAACACATAAAACCCGAAAAAAGAAAAAAAAAAAGAAAAAAAAAAAAAGAAAAAAAAAAAAAGAAAAAAAAAAAAAGAAAAAAAAAAAAAGAAAAAAAAAAAAAGAAAAAAAAAGAAAGAAAGAAAACGCTACTCAACAAGAGCAGAGGATAAATAAATGAAATAGATCCCGTCCGTCCGTCTATAAAAAAGAAGATCAAGGGCCGAAGTGCCTCCACGTGGACGAATCCAAATCACGAAATTTGTGTCCTAAGCCAAGACGAGGGCGAGGAAGGTTCCGGCGAGAGCGGAAGCAGCAATGAAGGCCTTGCTGGGGGAGAAGGCGGCGGAGGGTGGTGGTGGTGACTCAGCTCCACCTGAGGGCCCAGGTGCAGGCCCAGGAGTAAGTGAGGGTGGCCCAGGTGGAGAAGAGGTGGAAGAAGGGGTGGGTGCCTCAGACGGCGTGGAGGCTGGTGCTGAAGGAGAAGGAGGAGAGGCTGCAGGGGAAGAAGCTGGAGCTGGTGTAGGGGAAGGTGTAGAAGGTGTAGGTGTAGGTGTAGGTGTAGGTGTAGGTGTAGGTGGTGTTGTTGTGGGAGATGGGGCTGGGGCTGATCTAGGTGGTGGTGGTGGGGTTGTTGTTGGTGCCTGTGTGGGTGCACCACTTGGGGCTTGTGCTATGCATGAGGTAGCCAAGAGCCCCAGGATGAGAAGAAATTGTACTGCGCCACCACCCATCTTAGAGAGAGAACAAACTGCTAGTGCCTCTGTCTCTGTGTGTGTGTGTGAAAGAGAGAGAGAGAGAGGAGAGTTGAGCAGTGGAAGATGATAAGGAACAGAATATATAAAAAAGATTGTAAGTGGGGGGGCTTCAATAATGTGCCAAGATTCCTCCAACTCCAATGTCTTTTTTAATTTAATTTCTTACTATATGCATTGCGCACATACAATTTTATCTTATTATTTTCTGCCACACTTATGTTGACATGCAACTTGTTGGCTATTGGCCAACCACCATTATATCGTGGACTATGTCAGGGCGGTCTCATGTTACATGTAAGCTACTATTACACTAATACTCAATACTCGTTAACTTACCATTTTCTTTGGGGGTGCTGGTACAACTTTTTTTGCCATGTTTGTGTAATTCTAGCAAATATTAGCTGGCAGATGTCGATGCTGTGTCCACATTCGGGATTTCACCTTCTCCAAATACTCACTTGCTTTGCCCTTTTCTCCATTGAAGTTCTGAATATTACCTCAATACCCTTTTGGACCAGGACACGTGTCGGTTCTTGAGGGTCAGTGACCAGTCGCTATCTTCCGCCACCCCTGTGTACGGTGTTCTTCCACTCTTTTTCATAATCCTTAAAGAATCCACACACTTCCATTTACTTTTCTCTTACTATTAAACAATACTCTTTTTTTTTACAAGAAAAATAACACTACTTATTTTGTGATTTTTAACTTCTTTTTTTCCTTCCTCAAAACTTTCTCGATATGAAAAAAAAAAAAGAAATTAAAATTTAATTAGAAGACAAAATGAAAAGGGGAAAATTGTATTTATTTTTAAACTAAAAAGAAATATCATTATGGGTACTTTTTCTTTCTTCCTAAAGACCATAACTTTTCAACGACTTATAAAGTTCTCTACCATTTTACTAGAGTGACCCTCATGTTGGAACCATTAATCTGGACCGCACACGTGTATTCTTTTAGTGCGTTGATGGGTTCTGTCTTGTAGTCGTAAATCAAGTCAAAACGCGGGGTACTTCACCCGCGTTCAGGCCACTCGTGTCGTGTCTTGTCTTTTGCCCGATTACAACTTTTTTGTTTAACAGAGAATTTTAGAATCTAAAATATAATTAAATGTTAGCAAATGCTAATTATTCTTATGCGAACCGCTAACTCTGCAGCGGATGAAAAAGTCATTTTTATTTCTCTTTTGACCCTTTCTCTATTCTTAATGATAACACCATTATATTCGGTATTTTGCATTGTATGATTGACAAATCGGATACATTACCCTTTCATATATTTTAGACACATAATATAGGTATGATAATGGAGGAGAAAGAGAGAAAGAATAATTTAAGCTAACCATGGGAAATGGAAAACATCGAACATGTTCATCTTTTCAACTCCAAATAAAATAATATGCAATATTTGAAAAGAAAATAAATAGTACTGTATGAATAGGATGCATGTTTTGTTGTCGTGTGCTAGTGTACACTGTTGAGAACATGATGATAGTGGAATAGAGTTAGAGGACCAATGCGCAGCTGGAACCAGAGTGAACTGCTACATAACAAAACACGTGTCACGAAAGGAATAAGAGGACCATGTGACAAAATGTGGAAATCCAATGTATGCCGTTGTCATTTTAAGGACTATGAGGGGCAAAGTCTTCACTAGCTAGGGTGTGTGTATTTTTTTAAAATTAAAAAATTATAATTATAATGATGAAATAGGAGCTGGCAAAAGCTGGCAATTATTGTAATCTTTATAATATAACTGAGCTTGGACTTTTGCAATTCTTTATATTTGTCCGATTCGCTTGTAAAATATGTGGAAAGCAGAAAAGGAGGTTTCGCATGTCCAGCAATGAGTAGAATTATCATGGCTTTATCTCATTTACATCCAAACCTCAATTTCAATGGAATTGAAAGATAATTGTATTTATTAATAAATGACCCCATTTCCATTTCATGAATTTGTCTCCAATTTTTTAGAAGTGGAATGTTCGATCGCGCTCAATTAACTTATGGGGCTATTATTATAAATAAATAAATAAATAACAAAAATATATGCCTATGATCGATTTTTATTTTCATGAAATCCGTGGTACTACAAGTCTACAACTAATTTTTTTTTTTCTTTCACCACATTTTACTGTACTTTTTGTTTTGATAAATGGATTGGATTGTAATCAATAATTGTAAAGTATTTTTTTCATCGCATACAAGTATATATATTTTGATAAACATTTTTTATTTCCTGAAATTCCGTAGCTTTTCTTTAATTTTAGATAGTACTGATATATATATATATATATTATTGGAACAATATCTTAAACATACTTATGAGCATATTTTTTATTGGTTAAAATTTATCAAAAAAAAAAGTGAGTCTTACATTTTATTCGATGAACCTCTCTCATAAGTTTATATTTTTTATTAGACTTGGGCTTTTGTTTTTATAAAGTCTCATATTCAAACCGTATAAAATAAAAAAATACTATTATGAAAAACATCTTCACTGTTACATTGTTGATTTGAGTTGACTTTCAAGAGAGAAAAATAATTAAGAGAGAAAGAAGTGCAAGAGAAAATATATATATTTTTTTAGTTATTTAGAAAAGTAAAGAAATGAGAGAAACAAGAAAAAAAAAATGGTAAAGCCCTTGTTAAAAGAGACTCCTAAAAGGTGCCATCAGGTTGTGGCAGATCTAAATTCTTGTGCCTCCTTGCATGAATGTGTTGTGACACACAACACTACATCCTTTTATCACTTATGTGTGTGTTTGGATTTGCGTTTGTAAAATTGATTTGAGATTAACGTGATTTTGTATAATTGATTTTAAGTAAACGTGATTTTAAACTAACGTGATTTTTGTTTGAATACATTTATTAGAAAATTGATTTTCATATTAAATGATGTTTGGAAAATAGTTATCAAAATTGATTTTAAGTGTATAATTACCAAAATAGACCTTAGTTAATTGTTGATTTTTTTGTAGTGTAATGTATTATTTTTTAGTTGTATATTGACATGTATATTATTAATTTTATAACATGTTAAAAATAACAATTAATATATTACCTTATTATATAAATGGATATATATAAAAACAAGTAAAAATAAAGTGAATTAACAATATATAAAGTAGCAACACTAACATAGGAAAAAAGAAAAATACTTTTTAATGCAATAAAACATTAACCTACAACATCAATACTAATGTTTGTTCTTCAATTGTACAATTTCATCTCGTATTGAATCTCGAACTTGATCCATTTTGGATGAAGAAATAACATTTAGAACTTGATTTTTCTCTAAGTTAACTGTACCATGATAATTATCATCTGATTCAAAGGTTATGTTCTCATCTTCATAACGGCTAAAATCAATATCACTTTCTGCATTCCTTCTAATAAAATTGTGTATAGCCATTGTTGCACATACAATTTGCACTTGGGTTTCCAATTTATACTTAGGCATGTGTCGCAAGATTGCAAATCTATTCTTCCATACCCCAAAGGTTCTCTCAATTGTACACCTTAAACTTGAGTGGTAATAATTGAAAATTTCATTATTATTTTCAAACCCATTCTGACGTCTAAAATCCGGTAGATGATAACGTTCGCATCTATAGGGACCAAGATATCCCACTGGTGTTGGATAACCAGCATCTACCAAATAACATTTACCTATTAAAAAAGTAAAAAAAAATGTTAATATAATTTAATTGAAATTGGAATTCAATTGTATTGATATAAATAAATAATACCTTGAGGAGGATGTGGAAAATTCAAGTTGGCAGTTGTGAGAGCATGATCGAAGATTCGAGCATCATGCGCAGTACCTTCCCATCCAGCTAGTACAAAAGTAAAACACATGTTCCAATCACAAACTGCCATTATATTTTGTGTTGGAGTACCCTTTCTCCCAATAAATCTTGCTTGGTCACTAGGAGTAACCACACATGGAACATGAGTTCCATCAATTGCCCCTATTGCATTCTTAAAAAATGGTCAGTATCTTGTATCATTTTCTATTTTGGCTTGACTATCATGAAATAGAGGATCTTGTGGCCTAATATATTCTACACATAACTTAAGGCAAGCATTTAATACCTTATGGATATGTCTACTAATAGTCTCTCCAGAGTGTTGAAACCTCTCTTGAAGCATCCTATTTCCTACCCCATGTCCAACCATGTTTAAAAAAATTGCAACCATTTCTTCAACTCGCATGCGCTTAGAGGCCCTTAAACCATGGTCAACTAACTTAGAGCAAAGATTGTAAAAAATATGTTTTTTCATACGAAACATCTCATAACAACGAATAGGATGACCTTGCAATATTTCGTGCACCCTGTCTACCCTTATATTATGATAATTCAACTTTGATGGTCGGCCCTTTAGTTTTCTGTTACAATGGCAAGTGTAGACACTTTTGATTTATACTATGTAGGGGATAGTAATGTGTACTTGTACACATAATTTATATAACACGATCCAACTCCCAAAAACATATATCAAATAGCAGCTTATTTAGACTCGTCTAAGTTTATTAGCAAAAAGGAAACAGATTAGGAAACTTGCAACAGAAAACTGGACTGTAGGAGATGTGAAAAAGACATTTCCCAACAAGAAACTAAACAGAAGTAAATGTTGAGTACCAAATCATGTGTACCCTGTCTACATTTTCTCACATCAATGCATGAGAGCCTATACAACAAACATACAGCACACTAGCATACATAATAGGGAAAAAAAAACATTGATACAGTAGAGCACACGTGTAGGATTCTGCTAATATTGATACAGTAAAACAATTTACATCAAAGTATCTCATCTTTTTTATTGAGTGTTTAAGTCTCAAGAAAGGATTCTGCTAATATTAATTTTCTGATTTCATTAATGTGTTGTTTTGTAATATTTTTAACAGAATAAGACTAGAACCATATGTGTGAATCCATTTAGAAAACCAAACCGATCCAAAAAATGTAATTAGCCATTAAACATGTAGTTGAAATAATTTCCTGAAGCACTAGATTAAATTCAAATGACAGAACAATGAAAAGGAACAATTACAACTTACACATTTAGAATGACATAGCAAAAACTTAATAGACACACCTAAATC